ATCATGGCATCGTTCGGGTCATGGAATCGTTCGGGACCTTTGGAATTCGGGATCGTGGAATCATTCGGGATCATGGAATCGTTCGGGATCATGGCATCGTTTGGGTCATGGAATCGTTCAGGATCACGGGATCGTTTGGGATCATGGAATCGTTCGGGATCATGGAATCGTTCGGGATTGTGGCATGGTTCAGGATCGTGGGATCGTGGGATCGTTCGGGATCATGGAATCATTTGGGATCATGGAATCGTTCGGGACCATTGGAATTCGGGATCATGGCATCGTTCAGGATCATGGAATCATTCATGATCATGGAATCATTCGGGATCATGGCATGGTTCATGATCATGGGATCGTTCGGGATCATGGAATCGTTTCGTCGGGATCATGGGTTCGGGACCATGGGATCGTTCAGGATCATGGAATCATTCGGGATCATGGCATGGTTCATGATCATGGGATCGTTCGGGATCATGGAATCATTCGGGATCATGGAATCGTTCGGGATCATGGAATCGTTCAGGATCATGGAATTGTTCAGGATCATGGGATCATTCAGGATCATGGCATGGTTCAGGATCGTGGGATCGTTCGGGATCATGGAATCATTTGGGATCATGGAATCGTTCAGGATCATGGGATCGTTCGGGATCATGGAATCGTTCAGGATCATGGGATCACCAAGGCTGGAAAAGCCCTCTGAGGTCACCTGCTCCCCCAGGGCCACCACTGACCGTGTCCCCAAGTGCCACATCCACTGTTAAATCCCACCGGGAATGGGCACTGCCCCCGGCAGCTGTGCCAGGCCTGGAGAGCCCTTCCCGTGGAGGAATTTCCCCAATATCCAACCCAAACCTCCCCTGGGAGCACTTGGAGTTATTTCCTCCCATCCTCATCCTCATCCTCATCCTCATCCGCATCCTCGTTCGGGATCATGGGATCATTCGGGATCATGGAATCGTCCAGGATCATGGGATCACCAAGGCTGGAAAAGCCCTCTGAGGTCACCTGCTCCCCCAGGGCCACCACTGACCGTGTCCCCAAGTGCCACATCCACTGTTAAATCCCACCGGGAATGGGCACTGCCCCCGGCAGCTGTGCCAGGCCTGGAGAGCCCTTCCCGTGGAGGAATTTCCCCAATATCCAACCCAAACCTCCCCTGGGAGCACTTGGAGTTATTTCCTCCCATCCTCATCCTCATCCTCATCCTCATCCTCATCCTCATCCGCATCCTCTCCACATCAAAGGATCCAAGCACAGGGAGAATCCAAGGGGGAAATCCCCTTTTTGGGATGGTTTGGGATTGCTGGAGCTGGGATGGGGTGAGCATCACCCGCAGCTCCCCCGGGGACACCGGGGCTCAGCAGGAAGCAGATTTTTGGAGGAAAGTTTTGTTCCCGGGTGCCTCCGGTGCCTGCGGGGGCAGGAGGAACCTTCCAAAAGCCCTGGCTGAAGGAGCATGTGGGAAAACTGGGATTTTCTCCTTTTTTTTTAAATATTTCTCTCCAGTTCTCCCCGCAGCACAGGGATCCCTGCGCTGACCGTGTCCCCAAGTGCCACATCCACTGTTAAATCCCACCGGGAATGGGCACTGCCCCCGGCAGCTGTGCCAGGCCTGGAGAGCCCTTCCCGTGGAGGAATTTCCCCAATATCCAACCCAAACCTCCGCAGACACAGCCTGGAGTTATTTCCTCCCAGGACGAACCTTCCAAAACCCCTGGCTGACGGAGCACGTGGGAAAATCAGGATTTTCTCCCTTTTTTTTTGTTAATATTTCTCCCTGCAGAGACCCCGGCGCTGCGCCCGCTGGATCGGCACCTTTATCCCTCTTCCAGCCGCACCCCAGCCGGGAGCAGGGCACGATTCCAGGATCCCCCCCGTGCCGGGATGTGTCCCGAGCCAGGAGAAATCCGTGTCCATGGATTTTTCGGCGGGCTGGCCGCCGGCCCAGCCGCTTCCCCGGCCGTTCAAAGGCTTTTCTTGTTCGGCTCCTGCAGAAGGGCTCCTTTCACGGCCGCCTTTCCTAGACAGAAATTGTCATTTTCCGAACACAGCTTCCCTTCTCCTGGCGCGGAGCCCTCCGCCTCCCTGACGTCAGCCCGCCTTTGTGATGCTCCGGCTGGAATTCTGCGCTCCTGGTTCTTTTCACTGCCTTGGAGCGGGCGGGGGGTGAGGGGCGGCCGCGGGGGGATTCTGCTGGAGGCGGGGGGCTTGGCAGCGGGATCGGAGCAGGGCCGGATCCCTGGGAACCAAGGATGTGGAGAGCTTTGTAATGGAGTTTCGTGGTGTGATGGAAGAGAAAAAAAAATTATTATTATTATTATTATTATTATTGTCGTCATGGTTATCAATAATTGCATTATTCTGAGTCTTATCTCGTCATTCTCCTGATTCCTCACACTGCTCTAATTTACGGTTATTATCCCGGGTTTTGCTGGTTCCCGGCTTTTTTGGGACCGCCTGCCGAGGATTTCCCAGCCTGCCCACGCCGCGCAGAGCTCCAGCTCCGCTCCATCCCGGCGGGATTCGAGCTCCCGGTGCCTTTTCCATGACAGGGACATGAGGATGAGGAGCCATCGGTGTCCCCAGGGGAAGCCAGCACGGCCAGTGTCCCCTCTGGCGACATCTGCGACACCAAAACATCAGCAACCCCGCAGAACCGACCCCGGCTCCGTGCCTCAGTTTTCCTCCTCGCTCCAGCCCCGTCCTCCGCTCCGGCTCCCCCGGCCCTGGTGGCATCGCTTTGTCCCCTCCGGTGACTCCGGGCCGCTCCTGGCACCCGAAATTTTCCAGGCTGGCGCCGTGCCAGCGCCGGGATTTGTCTGGCAGCGGAGCAGAATCGGCTCAGTGTTGTCGCCGGGGCAAAGTCCGGCTCTGCCCGGAGGAATTTGTTTGTGCTCCGCCCGCTCCCCACCAGCGCCGCGCCGGCTCGGCCGGGACGTGTCCCCTGCGCTGTCCCCCGGGGGTCACACCCACTGGCACCTGGGGGGCACTGCCACCTGGGAGGGACATTGGGGGGCTCTCGGGGGGTCTCTCATGGCATGGTTCAGGATCATGGGATCGTTCAGGATCATGGCATGGTTCAGGATCATGGGATCGTTTGGGATCATGGGATCGTTTGGGATCATGGAATCATTCGGGATCATGGGATCGTTCGGGATCATGGCATGGTTCAGGATCATGGCATGGTTCAGGATCGTGGCATGGTTCAGGATCATGGGGTCGTTCGGGATCATGGAATCATTCGGGATCATGGGATCGTTCAGGATCATGGCATGGTTCAGGATCATGGGATCGTTCGGGATCATGGGATCACCAAGGCTGGAAAAGCCCTCTGAGGTCACCTGCTCCCCCAGGGCCACCACTGACCGTGTCCCCAAGTGCCACATCCACTGTTAAATCCCACCGGGAATGGGCACTGCCCCCGGCAGCTGTGCCAGGCCTGGAGAGCCCTTCCCGTGGAGGAATTTCCCCAATATCCAACCCAAACCTCCCCTGGGAGCACTTGGAGGTCTCTGTCGGGGTGGAGGGGGCTCCTCGTGCCGTTCCCACCCGATCCACCCAGGGATCCTCGTGGTGTCACCTTCTGCCTGAGGGTCCCCATTGGGGTCACCAGCGCTGCCCGGAGCAGCGACACCGAGGAGGGGACATCCAATTCCCACATTTCCTGTCTGCCCGGGGGGGGTGGTGCTTCTTCTGCACCCCAAAATGAGCCCACAGCGGAGCTTTGGGGTGCCTTGGGGTCTGGTGGCTCTTCCCTGCTCCCCAAACCTGAGCTTTGGGGTGCTTTGGGGTCTGCTGGCTCTTCCCTGCTCCCCAATCCTGAGCTTTGGGGTGGTTTGGGGTCTGCTGACTCTTCCTGGAGCCCACAGCGGAGCTTTGGGGTGCCTTGGGGTCTGGTGGCTCTTCCCTGCTCCCCAAACCTGAGCTTTGGGGTGCTTTGGGGTCTGCTGGCTCTTCCCTGCCCCATAAAGAGCCCAAACCACATCTTTGGGGTGCTTTGGGGTCTGCTGGCTCTTCCTGCTCCCCAAACCTGAGCTTTGAGGTGCTTTGGGGTCTGCTGGCTCTTCCCTGCTCCCCAAACCTGAGCTTTGGGGTGCTTTGAGGTGCTTTGGGCTGTTTCCTGCTCCCCACACCGCAGCTTTGGGGTGCTTTGGGGTGCTTTGGGCTCTTCCCTTCTCCCCGCACTGCAGCTTTGGGGTGCTTTGAGGCGCTTTGGGGTGCTCTGGGGTGCTTTGGGGTGCTCTGGGGTGCTCTGGGGTGCTCTGGGGTGCTCTGGGGTGCTCTGGGGTCTGGAGCAGCGGCTGCCCTGCCGTGACCTTGCCAGGAGCGGGAGCAGCCCCCAACCTTCCCCGCAGGTGTGCCACCCTCGGGAGTCGCAGCTGCGGGATCTGCGGGATCTCCTGGGAAGCTCCGCGGGCTGCGGGGCCTCGCTCCGCCGCTGCCCGGAGGAGCCGGGACCGGTTCTACCGGCGCGCTTCCCGGGAGCGGCATTCCTGCCGTGCCTCGGCTGAGTCACGCGTGGCTCCCGCCGCGCTCCGGGGCTGACTCACGGCCGTGGGAGGCGGCCCGGGCGTTCTCCCGGTTCCCAGGGAGCCAAGGAAGGAGGGAGCTCCGGGAGCGATCCCGCGGAGCCCCGCGGGGCTGGCAATGTCCCGAATCCCCGGGCCCCGAGGTAACGGTGCCACCAATGTCACCCCCAGCGGCCAATGCCCCCCCAGTGTCCCCCCATGTCACCCCCAGGTGCTGAAGCTACCCCAGATATCCCAATGTCACCCTCAATGTCCTGATGCCCCCCCAAGGTGCCGATGTCACCCCCAAGGTCCCAATGTCACCCCCAGGTGCCAATGCCATCCCCAAGTTACTAATGTCACCCCCACGTGCCGAAGCCCCCCGTGTCCCGATGTCACCCCAAGGTCCTGATGCCATCCCCAAGTTACTGATGTCCCCCCAGCGTCCCAGTGTCACCCCCAGGTGCCAAAGCAATCCCAAATGTCCCGATGTCACCCCAAGGTACTGATGCCCCCCCCCCAGGTGCCGATGTCACCCCCAGTGTCCCGATGTCACCCCAATGTCCCAATGACATCCCCAGTGTCCCGATGTCAGCCCTAGGTACTGATGCCACTCCCAGGTGCCAAAGCCACCCCAAATATCCCGATGTCACCCCAAGGTCCTGATGCCATCCCCAAGTTACTGATGCCACCCCCAGGTGCCGAAGCCCCCAAATGTCCTGATGCCATCTCCGGGTCCCGATGTCACCCCCAGGGTGCCAGTGTCCCCCCAGGTGGCAGTGCCCCCCAATGTCCCTCCCAGGTGGCAGTGCCCCCCAATGTCCCTCCAGGTGGCAGCGCCCCCCAGTGCCCCCCAGGGTGCCAATGCCCCCCAGGTGGCAGTGCCCCCCAATGTCCCCTCCAGGTGCCAATGCACCCCAGGTGCCAATGTCCCCCCAGGTGGCAGTGTCCCCCAATGTCCCAATGTCCCCCCGGGTGCCAGTGCCCCCCCAGGTGGCAGCGCCCCCCAGGTCGCAGCGCCCCGTGCCCCCGCCGCGGGCGCGGATTCCCGAGCGGTCGCGCGTGGGGAGCGGGGCCGCAGCGCTGACTCAGCTCCTGCGGGCGCACAATGGGAGCGCAGGACAAACAGGCGGGACGGGGACAAACAGATCCCGCTTGGGGACAGTGCCAGCATTGTGACCGCCCGGGGCAGGGCCGGACACTGAGCTCCTCTGTTCCGCCGCCGCCTTCCGGGGGCTTTGTCCTGGCCGGACACCGCCGGCCCCGCGCCCGTGGAGAAGGGAAGGGCACGGGGAGGATTCCCGAGCCTGGACACCTGGATGGGTGGGGGACATCCCACCTGAGCCTGGAGGGTGTCCTGAGAACTTGGGGTGTGGGTTTGGGGTCCTGGCACAGAACCCTGGACACCTGGATGGGTCCTGGCACAAAGCCCTGGACACCTGGATGGGTGTGGGGGCATCCCACCTGAGCCATGAACGTGTCCCAGGAATTAGGGTGTGGGTTGGGGTCCCAGCACAAAATTCCTGGAAGGATCCTGAGGAAGAGGAGGAGGAGAACTGGAATGTGAATTTGGGGTCCTACCACAAAATTCCTGGAAGGATCCTGAGGAAGAGGAGAGGAGCAGAGTGTGGGTTTGGGGTCCCATGGCAAAGCCACAGAGAGATTCCCAAGGAGAAGAACTGGGGTGTGGATTTGGTGTCCTACCCTAAACTCCTGGAAGGATCCCGAGGAGGAGAAGGAGAAGAACTGCAATGTGGATTTGGGGTCCCACCACAAAGCCCAGGAGGGATCCCAAGGAACAGGAGGAGGAGAAGTGCAATGTGGATTTGGTGTCCTACCCTAAACTCCTGGAGGGATCCTGAGGAGAAGGAGGAGAACTGCAATGTGGATTTGGAGTCCCACCACAAAGCCCTGGAGGGATCCTGAGGAGAAAGAGGAGAACTGCAATGTGGATTTGGAGTCCCACCACAAAGCCCTGGAGGGATCCTGAGGAGAAAGAGGAGAACTGCAATGTGGATTTGGAGTCCCACCACAAAGCCCTGGAGGGATCCTGAGGAGAAAGAGGAGAACTGCAATGTGGATTTGGAGTCCCACCACAAAGCCCTGGAGGGATCCTGAGGAGAAAGAGGAGAACTGCAATGTGGATTTGGAGTCCCACCACAAAGCCCTGGAGGGATCCTGAGGAGAAAGAGGAGAACTGCAATGTGGATTTGGGGTCCTATCCTAAAACTCCTGCAGGGATCCCGAGGAGAAGGAGGAGGAAAACTGCAATGTTGGATTTGGGGTCCTACCCTAAACTCCTGGAAGGATCCCGAGGAGAAGGAGAAGAACGGGAATGTGGATTTGGGGTCCCACCACAAAGCCCAGGAGGGATCGCGAGGAGAAGGAGGAGGAGAACTGCAATGTGGATTTGGGGTCCTACCCTAAACTCCTGGAAGGATCCCGAGGAGAAGGAGAAGAAGAACTGGAATGTGGATTTGGGGTCCCACCACAAAGCCCAGGAGGGATCCCAAGGAACAGGAGGAGGAGGGCCGGAGCAGGGATTCGGGGTTTCTGAGGGCACAGCTGGACGTGCGGCCGCCCGGGTGCTCTCCGGGCTCCGGTCACCGCGGCTCAATGATCCCAGTGTCCGCTTCCCGTGACCACGGAGAGCCGGGAAACCCCAAAACACCGGGCAGAGGGACCTGCCAGAGCCACCTCGGGCTCGTGACCACAGCAGGACCTGCCAGAGCCACCTCGGGGTCGCGCCCGGAGCGGGATCAGCCCCTCTCCCGCGTTCCCAGTGGGAATTCCTGCTGGCTCCAGGACGTGCTTATCCCTGCTGCTGGAGAGGGATAAAAACATAAATAAAATAACGTGGTGCTAAGTGATCCAATATTGACATTTTCCCGGGAGCTGCCAGCCCGGAGCCGCCGGCATTCCCGCGGCCAACAAAGCCCTCGTCAGTGGCCAGGCTTGGAGAGCTCCAAAATCCTTTATTTATGGAGGCTTTCGGCAAAAAACGGGACATAAACAGAAAAAGGGGAGCGGGGGAAAGGGGTGGGAAGGGAGAAAACCCCCGAGGAGTTGTTTAGGAAAGGAAGAAAGGAAAAAAAAGGGAATAAAATGGACATTCACGGGGAAAATCCCAGCTATGAAAGAGCCTTTTAAAGGCGGCGGAAAAACAGGAGCTGTGAGATAAAGCCAGGAAAAAAATTCCCAATAAAGCCCCGCTTTTAGTGGGGTGGGGGAAATGTCGGAGGCGCTGCCCGTCCCAAAACAGGCCCAGGATGAGCCAGAAGCCCAAAATTTGGGATGGGGGAGATACCAGAGGTGCTGCCTGTCCCAAAACAGGCCCAGGATGGGTCAGACCCCCAAAATTTGGGATGAGGGAGATGTCAGAGGTGCTGCCCTCCCAGGATGGGTCAGACCCCCAAAATTTGGGATGAGGGAGATGTCAGAGGTGCTGCCCTCCCAGGATGGGTCAGACCCCCAAAATTTGGGATGAGGGAGATGTCAGAGGTGCTGCCCTTCCAAAAACAGCCCCAGGATGGATCAAACCCCCAAATTTTGGGATGGGGGAGATATCAGAGGTGCTGCCCTCCCAGGATGGGTCAGACCCCCAAAATTTGGGGTGAGGGAGATGTCAGAGGTGCTGCCCTTCCAAAAACAGACCCAGGATGAGCCACACTCCCAAAATTTGGGATGGGGAAGATGTCAGAGGTGTTTCCCTCCCAGGATGGGTCAGACCCCCAAAATTTGGGGGGAGGGAGATGTCAGAGGTGCTGCCCTTCCAAAAACAGGCCCAGGATGAGCCACACTCCCAAAATTTGGGATGGGGAAGATGTCAGAGGGGTTTCCCTCCCAGGATGGGTCAGACCCCCAAAATTTGGGATGAGGGAAATGTCAGAGGTGCTGCCCTTCCAAAAACAGCCCCAGGATGGATCAAACCCCCAAATTTTGGGATGAGGGAAATGTCAGAGGTGCTGCCCTTCCAAAAACAGCCCCAGGATGGATCAAACCCCCAAATTTTGGGATGAGGGAAATGTCAGAGGTGCTGCCCTTCCAAAAACAGCCCCAGGGTGGGTCAGACCCCCAAAATTCGGGCTGGGGCGGCAGGAGCGGGACCATCCCGGGGTTCCAGGCCGGCAGAATTCCCGCCCCCGGGAATAACGCGGGATTCCTTCCCCCACTCCGCCTGATGGATTCCAGGGCCCCTCCGAGGAGCCAAAACCATCCCGGCGGCGACAATTTGGGTTTGTGCGAGCCCCGGGAAGGGCCGGGGGGAGCCCGAGCCGTGTTTTCCCTCGGCCTCATTTTCACCTGGCCCGTCCAAGATCAACAGGCGGCCGGAGGATTCCCGCCGGACACGAGCACACAGCGCCGTTGTTCCCGCGGATTTGGGGGATTTTTCCTGCTTTTTTCGGGAGGTTTTTGGTGTTTTTTTTTTCGTCGCCACGTTGAAAAATCAGGGGGTTTTGAGCCACGGCAGAGGGAGAGGGGTGAGGATCCGGATCAAGGAGGAGTTGGAGTCGTCCCCATGGGGGCAAGGAGGGTGTTTGGCAGTCCCTAAATCCCGAAATCCCATTTTTTTGGGGTGGGTTTTCCCATTTACTGGGGTCTGCAGTAGCGCTTTCCAGGCTGGATAAATCCCAAAATTCCATTTTGTGTGGGGGTTTTTCCCATTAACTGTAGTGTTGCCCTCCAGCCTGGATAAATCCCAAAATTCCATTTTGTGTGGGGGTTTTTCCCATTAACTGTAGTGTCACCCCCCCCAGCCTGGATAAATCCCAAAATCCCATTTTTGGGTGGGTTTTCCTATTGAATGAGGTCTGCTCTCCAGCCTGGATAAATCCCAAAATCCCATTTTTTGGGTGGGTTTTCCCACTGTCTCCTACATGGAAGGGCCCAAAGTGCCACATTCCAGCCTGGATAAATCCCAAAATCCCATTTTTTTGCGTGGGTTTTCCTATTTGCTGATATCTGCTCTCCAATCTGGATAAATCCCCAAATCCCCAAATCCCGTATTTTGGGTGGGTTTTCCCATCCACTGCAGTGTTGCCCCCCAGCCTGGATAAATTCCAAAATCCCGTTTTTTGGGTGGGTTTTCCCACTGTTTCCTGCATGGAAGGGCACAAGGTGTCACATTCCACCCCAAAAATCCCCCAGGATTTCCCACCTCAGGAGAGGGGATGGAACAGAGGATGAAAGAGAAGGGGTTTTGCCTCTTTTTCAGGGATTTGCCCTAAATCGAATGGATTTATCCCAGATTTTCCCCCCTGGAATGACCCTTTAATCCCAAACCCGGTATAAACCACAAACACAGAACGATCCCAAGAGGAAAACCCAACAGCCGGAGGCTCCCGGGGCAGGAACAATTAAAAAACCCCAATTTAATTATTATTTATTATTGTAATCCCAAAATAACCCCTCGGTTTGGGGTTGTGGTTTTGTAACTCGGGAAAAGGGATTGGGAGCCCTGGAATGCCTGGGAGGAGCTGGAGGTCAGGAAGGGGTTTTGGGGTTGGGAATGTTTTTTGGAGTCAGGAAAGTTTTTTGGGGTCGGGAATGTTTTTTGGGGTCAGGAAAGTTTTTTGGGGTCGGGAGTGTTTTTTGGGGTCAGGTTTGGGATCAGGAAAGTTTTGTGAGGCTGGGAATGTTTGTAAGAGGTCAGGAATGTTTTTTGGGGTCAGGAATGTTTTTGGGAGGTTGAGAATGCGTTTTGGGGTCAGGAAAGTTTTTGAGGTTGGGAATGCCAGTGCGGGTCGGGAATGGCTTTTTGGGGTCAGGAGTGTTTTTTGGGGTCAAGAATGGTTTTTGGGGTCAGGAATGCCAGTGGGGATCAGGAATGTTTTTTGAGCCGTTGTCGTTCCCACCTGGCCCAGGCTGTGGGATTTGGGGATGGTCAGGGCACTGGGATGTCGGATTTTGGGATGTTCAGGTTCTAGGATTGCATTCCAGTGCACTTTGGGATGTTTGGGACGAGCCCTGTGGGGTGGGAATGCCGTGGGACCCCTGGAGGAAGGCGCAGCCCCCGCGGTGGTCCCGCAGGCTCTGGTGGGATTTTGGGATGGTCAGGGCACTGGGATGTTGGATTTTGGGATGGTCAGGGCACTGGGATGTTGGATTTTGGGATGGTCAGGGCACTAG